ATTTTTGTCAAAATTAATAACGCATCTCTAACATCAGTTGGATTTATTAATTGCTCTTCCCATATTGCTTTGTATTTCAATCTACGTTTCAATTGCAATCTTACCATCATTGATTTATCAAGTGGACGAGGCAATGTTGTTACAGTTTCTTGTACATCTGACGGTACGCAATGAAGTGGTCCTTTGGTCCCTTTTTGTGATAATCTACTGGAAAGTTTTCCGGATGTTAAATTTAAGATTTTCATAAATGGTAATCGTAAAGCAATTAGATGTTTTTCAAGATTGTTTAATCTTTTTAGTTCAGATGGAATTTTACAAAGTTCCAATTTATTTGAAATTGCTCGAGCAGGTAATTGCTGTTTCTTGATTTTATCTGAGCATAATCTACAAATCCATTGTTGTTGCATGGAAGAATTATTATTAAAATTAACTTGAATATGTTTTTCTATTTGACTCAAGATACCTTCTTTTGAATATTTTTCTTTAATGAATGGTATTACTTGATGACGGAAAAGGGCTAATCCGCATGAAATACAAACGTAGTCAGGTCCTTCTTGAATAATTTTTCGAAATTCTTTTAACTTATCTATATATAGGTTACTATGTTTTATTATAGATTTATGACTTTCAATGTTACTGTATTTTTTTAAGATACGTCTACGTTGATTATAAAGTTGTCGTGACTTTTGTGTTGTTAGTGTTTTATTAATATGATACGAATTCAATGCGGTTTGAATCATTTTCAATCGTATCGAATTATTAGTATAGTATTTTTTTAAAACTTCAGTTTTCATTCGTGCTTTGTATTTATTTCGAAAATTTGAATTAGTGTGATATTTATTTAAAATAGTAATTTTCGATTGTGTTTTAACCTTATCTCGAAAATCTGAATCACTGTGATATTTTTTTAAAATAGTAATTTTCGATTGCGTTTTAACCTTATCTCGAAAATTTGAATTATCGCGATATTTGTTAAAGTAATAAATTTTTGATTGTGATTTAATTTTTTCTCGAGTATTTAGACTTGTATGGTATTTCATTGAAATATATGAATTAATTCTTTTCTTTTCTTTATCACGAAATGCAATATTAGTCTTATATTTGTTTTGATAAAATTTTTTTGAACGTGAAGATGGTTTTTTACGTAAGACCATTTTCCTTGAAGCTTTTTTCTTAGTCAAATTATTTTTTTCACTAATATTGTCATCACAGCTTTCATTATTAATTTCGTTTTGTATTTGTTTTTTATTATTTCTCTTTTTACACTGTCTTATGCGTTCGTTCTGTAGACGAGAGACTCTTGATACAATTTTATTTAGAATGTCTTTTATAATTTTTTGATCATCAATTTCTGTTGGTAGTTGCATTGTATTATAAAAACAACTTTTTATTTCTTTATGGTTTCTGTAATTAAAACAATTTGAATCAATAAGATCATTTTGTGATATATTCACACATTTTTTGCTATCCGATTTATTCTTAACAATACGTCTAAAACGTAAAAATTTTTTGATAGCTTTTATAGTTACGAGTAATATTCTCCACGATCGACTAATTTTTGAACGAATTTCTTGTTGTCGTTTATAAGATTCCTTTCTGGTTTTTGCTTTTGATGCAACGGATTTTTTACGAACCATTTTTAGTTAAACTACAAGTAAGCTAATGTTAATACCTAATCAAATTAACAGTTGGTCATGGAGAGCAAGAACATAGATTAACTAAGTAGAGCTTAATTTATTTAGTTAAAATTATGTATTATCTCGTAACTTGATGAGATAATAAAAAAATGTTTTTCTTTCAAGCTAAATCTTCTGCACTACTTAGTGAAGATATAGTTGATACTGAGTAAGAAGTATTAGAAAATCGAAGACTTAGTGATTTTCTGTGTAAAGAAATTTATTTAATAAGTAATTTTTATTGTGAAATTAGATTTATCATTAAATTGAATCTAGAATTAAACAAACAAATACGAATAAAGAATTAAGAAAAAATGTAATAGCATAACAATGTAAAAACGTTTTTAAATATAATTTTGATTATCAGAAAAAGTAAAAATCGGTCGTTTGCTTTATATGTAAAATGAGAATTGTATTAATCTAAAATAGTTTAAAAGATAACTTAGGAAATCAACAAGATAATATTCGACGAAACAATGACGATTTAATAGTATCTATACAACCATTTTTTTTTTATTTTAAAAAGAAATTAAAGAGACAATATATAATAATTGTAATGAATATTATAATATTAATTATATGATAAACTATTTTATATTTTATATTAATACTTTTGATCTTTAAAAGAAATGAGTGTTTTTTTTTTATTTGTTTGATATAAGAAAGAAAAAGTATTACATTAAATATATATTAAAAATAGTAAAAATCAATTCCATTAAAGACAAAACAAGTTTTATCTGAATGAATATTTTTTGTTTTTCATTGATGCTAATCCAACTTTAAAGTTTAATGTAAGTTAAACAAGTAATATGCCAAGTCAAGTGTAAAGTTTAATTTAAATAAAACAAGGAATTATCTCAAATTACTTTTAAAAACGGTATCATATCACAATGTGTAATTTTATTAAAAATATTTCATCAATTTGTATAGTACAAAATGTTGCTATTTCTTTTTTTCGTAACCTATTAAACATTTTAAAATTTTCAAAACAGTCAAATTTATTATGTATGAATATCATATTATTAGATGTAATGTATTTATATAATTATTTAATTTATCAAGTAATAGATATTGTTTTTTTTAATTTTATATAAAAATAAAACTTTGGCCAATAAAAAAAAAAAGATTTATTAAAGATTGTATTATTAATTATCTTGAATCAAAATAAAATATGTTATAGAACATTTTCGATAATTGTGTTTAAATTTTTAAATATTGAAAAGTAATCAAATCGAAATGTAATTGCTTTTCATCAGTTATATATAAAACGTATACAAAACTAATTTTTAAAAGATACATAGTATAATACTATTATGAATCTATATCAATATACACATGTAATAAATTTAAAAGGAAAAAAGAAACAAATGTTTATTTAATCTCATTATGTATATGATCCATTGGAGACTATGTAACTTGGTAGCCTTTATTGAAAATTCAAAAATTTAATTTTCTTTAATTAACAAATAGATATCTATTATGTTAGATGGCTCTGTGTTCTTGTTTTATGTATATTATTCATTATATTCAGTCATATACGTAGTTAAGTAACCATTAACAAATACATCACTATGAAAACTTCATGTATGTTTAGCAACATGTTTTACAAGAATGATTCCGATTGAACAATTAATTATCTCAATGATTCAATATCTAGTATCAGCTGTGAGCGAATATATTAGTGGCTAGCATTTGTTGATGACGTCATTTTAATTATCTCGAACTTTGAAAATGAGAAATTCCTTTGTTTTTTTGTCATTTTGGAACTACATTTGTGAGTGAACGGAATTTCAGATTGATGATCCGAAAAAAGATGTTAGAAGTTCGATCTGAATACTTTCGTTTCACGTTTTAACGACATTTCTATGATTTTCCGTTCTCGAGATCATTGCTACACAAAATGACAAAAAAGATGCGTACGCGTCAAGTAAAAAAGTAAAAAAAAAAAAAACTCGCGACGGATAACATAAATGCTTCTGCTTCGCATCGCATTAAAAACTCGCGACGCATAACAGAAATGCTTCCTGCTTCGCATCGCATTAAAAAAACTCGCGACGAACTACATAAATGCTATGCTTCGCATCGCATTAACTATTTTCATACATATGTTCAACGACTAACTGGAAGAACTGGACAATTTCTTGTAACTTACCATACTCAAACTACCAATTCTATTCGAACATTAAATCAACCAATGCAAGACAGAGCACAGTATTTGTGCAAGAAAAACCATGTGAGGCGATGGCAGATGATAACAAATGTATTACAGGTTAGGATTTTCCAAAGAAGATTTATTGAGTACCCGCTGTCCAATGACATTCTAGAAGCCTCTGTAATTACAGTTTGTAAATTGCACACAATCTTAGTGTACTATAGCTTCATCTCCTCGGACAGAATACGCGGTGATGTCCTAGTGAGAACAAATAGTTCCGTACAATTGCTCGTCAGTGCATCATTCAAAACCATCGCCACTACCGATTGGCCCGAAATTTCGTTGAAAAAATGTTTCTTCATTTTTGACCCGTTGGAAAGTCTTTCAAAAAGTCAAAAAATATGGTCCAGAATTATAGAATTAGATAGTCCTCTATATCAGTGTGGATGGGGAGCAGCGTGACTCTGGACTACCTAACAGTATTGGACGAGTCATAAGCTATGGCTGATCCAAAGGGGTCTATGCCATTTCTGGTTATGAGCTCAGAAAATAAGTATTTGTTTTCGTTTAACAACACTGAGAAAATATTTGGAAGTCTGAAGATTAGTTAGACAACAAACAAGGAGGTCATTGATAGGAGCAATGAGCTCCTTTACAAATGTACTAGAAACTATACCAGACCTGGGAATTTTGTGAAGCGCATAGTTCTTTGCAAGATTCGATACTGAACTATGTGGTTATTTTTATCCATGCAGAACTGTAGTCATTTCTCAACGCTTAATTGATATATTGAATGTCGTTTGATCAAAGAATCAGTTCTGAAAATGACTAATTCACGTACCTAATAGAAAGCTAAAAAGAAGTTCAATTAGTGCATCTAGTAGATAGAGGTTTACTCTACAATCACATATTTTCATAAGGATTCGAACTTTCGTTTTCAGATGATAAGCAAGAAAAAGCAAAAATAGATAGAAACAATTTTTTTGAATAAGTTCTAGAGTCTATCAAAGATTTCGCTTAGTACCATACAGCAAAACTCGACGCTTAATATAAGAGTTTATATTCTGAAAGCGCAACAACTTCGGTTCTTTAGTACCGTCTGTCACTTATCCAAGATACTGTCAAGTAGGCCAAAATTTACGAATATTTTGTCATGCCATTTTCGGTCACCTGTTATTGCCACTGACACGAATCATTCAAAAAAATTACACACTCAGATTAGTTTTTTCTGTGAGTTTATGGCTAGTACAAAAGCTTAATGCAGAAATTGAAAATTTTTTTATTAAATTTGAATGTCTTGGAAAACGCCTTATTTTTGATTGCAGACGGTTTCAATGAGGCTGTTATTAATCTAGAGCGATCTACGTCCAACCCCACTTACCGTTGGTCTCACAAAGTCGATCATAAAGACCTGAAACGTGGTGATCATATCTATGCTTGGCGAATTGGCTTTACTTATCAACATCATGGGATTGTAATTGAAAAGAGCGATATTCCCGACAAAAAATATTGGACTAATCCAATCCCAGTTATTGAAGATATAATGGTCATTGAGAACACTCGTAGTAAACCTAATATGCGGATAGTGACTCTGTCTCAGTTTGCTAATAATTATTGTATACGGCTAGTTTACTACGGTATGAATCGAAAACGTGATGTCTTCTTATGTGACCTAAAATTACGCGGTAAATGCTACTTAGAAGATGCATTACTACCCGATGCAGTCGTAAAAAATGCTTGCTTTTTGTACCATTCATCAGGTTTGTATGAATTATACTTTATACTGGAAAAGAGAGTTGGAAGTTGATCATTTGTAGGTCCACAAAATGGCAGAGTATCTGCATCGCATGAATTCAAAATGGGTGGGTATAACTTACTCATGTGCAATTGTGAGCATGTCGCGTTCGCGTGTTCAACCGATGCGGAATTGATCAAACGATGCACAGAAGAAAAATTACAACCAGGTATTTAGAATCCTCAAATATTGTTCGATTTATTTATCTTTTGATTTTGTTTTGACAATCAGCAATTACTTCAAAATATTAATTCAGTATCAGAAGATAGATTATTTTCCTTTTTTTCTCAAAAACTAAGAATGATACTTTTTGGGCTTAAAAGATAGTACAGTCATTTTTTATTATGAGTTTCTTAAGCTTCGTGATGATAAATATGTTTGTCCATATGGTATGAAATGAAATTTACTTTGCTTGAATCATTTTTCTACCTTAATACTATTTCTGATATATAATACAGTCACGTCTTATCTGAAAGAGGTCTTATTTAGCATATGAAAGTCAACAGATAATGGCTCTTTGGAATACAGTTGGGACGACTGCTACCATTGGGATGTGGCATGCTATGGAAAAAAGTATACCATGGGAAAGTAAGTACAAATCAGTCTTATCCTCATCCGATAGAATCTAAACCAGTGTCACAATTGTAGCTCTGATCAATCAAATACTTCCCGATACCACTGGCTTTAGCAAACACGTGTTAAATGCCATACAGCGTGGCGCTGCTTGCAAGCAGTCTTTTACCAGTTTTATTCGAGTCGCAGGTCCTGGTAAGTTAAAATCCATCATGTTCAGTACAGATTGCTGAAGTTATTTAAATTTTTAAAATTACGTCTGAATATTCAAACGTTTCTATCAGAAAAAGATTGAATGCTGAACATCTTTAACACTTAGTGTGCTTTTCACGCGTCAAACATGAACTCGAACTTCTCAGAGTGCAGAGAATCTTCAAAGTATTTTCGCGACTGAACCTCTCAGATCATGTGACACATTACACAGTTGTTAACTGAATATGAAACTATGCTTAGAGGAAAATAGTTTTTGACAAGTGCGTTGGACTGAATAAGTTAGGCATAAGCAAAAATTAGGCGTTGGTCTTTAATGAAATTTTATGTTTTACTTTTTAGCGATTGGTATTATTGCTGCAAGTCTGTGTTGTTTCGATATAGTAACTAGCATTATTCGATATGTAATTTATAAAGTGACAAAAGGTGCTAAACGACTCGCTTACTTAGCCCTTGGCGTTGCTATCAAAGGAGTGGAATGCATTGAAAAAATCTGCGAATCTATTTTGTCGAATGGATTGGCAACAGTCTTCTCATTGTTGGGAGGAACTTTAGGCATGTCAATTCCAATTCCTTTTCTCAATCTTATTGTGAGCGCACTACTCAGTACAGTGGGGCTCGTGATAGGACGATATGTGGCTGGTATACCAATCAATATTTATCGTCGTTATAGATGTATACAGAAGAAGACCAGAAAAAACAATACACCGCCAGCAATTGAGCAGTGAATGTTCAGAGAAAAGAACTCTCAGGTCGTCACTGTTTCACCCATAAAACTTGGATACTAGGGTGTGGTGTATGAGTGTATTTGAGTGGGCTAGCATCAAAATAAAAACTCTGAGTTTTGAGGTTTCACGTTTGATATGATTTCGGTATTGATGATATCAGTTTTGGTCAGGTTTTGGATTTGGGTTTGGGTTTGAGGCATGCGTGAAAAAACTGATTCTGTAACAATGCATGTATGATGTCTTGCTATAAACATTTTATCGGCTTTACCTTGAAATGTACTTTTTATATAATATTATGTATCGGCGAAAAACAGACATCTTCGAGTAACCATACACTAAATATGGTCAAAGTGTGATTTTGAAGCCTGATAGGGTGTGGGTGTGCGCGTGTGTGGAGTCACATGAATATTCACCCATATCCACAACCTAGTGTATGTAAACGCAATGGGATGAATTTGGAATTCCAATTGTGCATTTTGGGCTATTTTTTCTGCTTTGATAGCCGTGTCCAATTCCTTTCCACCACACTTAATAAATTAAATTCAGCACCATGAATATTTGACATTGTTTTCTAGTTAGTCATATTTTCGATTAAATAGTGTTTCATCAAAATTTCTATGGACACATTTCCTTTTTACATTTTGTTGTACAAAATTTTCGTTTTTGAGTTTTTTCGAGATGGAAGATTTAATTATATGCTCTAAGATTGCTACCATGCAACTTCTCGTTATGATTCATAAATCTCCATTGGAGTTTTCGGATTACTTTCGAAACACATCTTCTGCGCATCTTTTCATCCGTGATCATAGATTTGGCACGCAGTTGAATTCGATAACAAATCTGATCACACCCTAACCACTGCTCCTGTGTCAATCACAGGTATCAATCATCAGTTTATCTGTCAAGAAACTTTACCATTTACAATGAAAAATAATCCAGTCTTCATTGATTTAACCAATGCCCCTAGTATTTTAGGTTAATATTTGTTCATAATAGTCAAAATTTCTCTACAGATTATGCAGAATCCGTCATCTTTCTTCTTCGAAATACCGGGATACTCTTAAAAAAGCTTTTCAGCACAACCCCGTTCGGGCTAAAATGTGGAACTCACATATTTCGGCCAGTTAGATACTGATCAAATAGAAGTTTTATTTTTTCAGTATAGTGAGACCATATTTTGTTCAAAAATAAGATAATAAAACCATTTTTAACATTTGAAGTTTATTGAATCTATCAATAGGAAATATTACTAGAGAACATATGAAAAACGTTTTGTTTAGAATATGTCAGTATACTGAAATGTTTAGTGGTTTCATTGAGAAATATTGTGAATGATAACAGTTTAAACAGTATTTAGGATATAGCTAACAATATTGTTGAAAAATTTAGATTTTTTCGTATTATCAGGTGAGAAATTGATACATTTTTTCATAAACGAAAATTTGATAAAAGCTTCCCAGCGGATGGAAAAGTTGCTAATTGTAAATACACTAAAGTGGATTCAAGCTCTAGAATAAGGTATTTGTGTGAGAAAAAACAAAGATTAAAATCGTCATCTGTTTATTGTAGGTGGTAGAAGTAACGAATGTAATAGTAGCATAAACTAGTTACTAGCTTCTGTAGCGGTAGCATGCACTTGTTGCTAACGTCTGTAATAATAAAATATATGATACTGTCGTAACTATGGACTATAATAATAAAAACGACAGATTTTGACGATTAACCAGAAATTAAATCGTAATTATAATGAAATCGAATTAGTGAAACTAGATTTTTTATTACTGATATGAGTAGCGGTGAACATAGGCAATCGACCTGTATCAAAAACGTTTCTAATTAGTGCATCTAAGTGTTAGTTTTTTATATTTTATGTCTGTAATGGGGAGGGGGTGGGGTGCAGGGGAGTCGAAAAAACCTTACGCTTCAACTTACACTCACTATTTTCTTCGAAAATATATGTGAGTTCCACAAAAAGTTAAACATCTCGAATTTCATTTCAATTAAAAAAAGATTTCTAATGAAAACATGACAAAACAAGAAAAGGAAATCACTCCATTTATCATCTGATTAGTTATTTCGTAGTATATATGATTTTCGTAAATGAGATAAACAGCTATGCCGTTGTTCGTTGTTATTAGAATTCGTGGATTTTCGTTTTTACCATACTATCATATTTGATTTTAGTGAAGACATGAATATCTTGTCTCATGTTTGATGAGATTCTTAACAAAAAAGATGAAGCTAGCAAAGGAGTTGATGATTCTTCTAAAACAACTGTTACTAATAGTGAAGGAGAACATGTGCTTTCATTCCTATCACTTGTAATTGTCGTTGTTGCTACTCGAGATAAAAGTATTGATCGAGAAAAAGTAGCATAAGATACAGAACATGTACTAGATTGATATTGCATTTGATGTTGATGATGACATACTATTGGAGGATGATGATGACGAATAGTCATTTTTAATAAATATTCAGGTATACATTCATATTGATGATTTTGTGAATTGTCAACATTGCCAGTAAATACCTCTTGAATAAATAATTTTTTATCTAATGTAAGTCGCATACATTTTCATCAATTGAAAGAAAAAGTAAAATTTTGAAGTATGAATGATTTAGTTCAAATGAAAGAAATAGATAACGAGCTTACTGTTATGGGAGTTAGAAAAATAACAAAGAATAATTCTCAATAAAGTCTGACAAATGTCTATTTTACCAGTAATTACCACTTTTTAAAGATATATGTGACTATATGATGTAGTTTTTTCCCCATCTACAAACAGGAGATAATCAATCATTATATAAATGAATAAAATAGAATTGAAATATTGTTTTTTTCATGATTAACATGAAGTTCTCAAAAGGAAAAGATACATTCATTATATGTAAATCAGTATTAAATATATTATTGAAACTTATTGATTTCTATGCTTTTTCATCGAACGTGTGAAATGGTCTAAGTTAAATTCGGTATACTGATAATCATCTTTTAAAATATCAAATATTTGGATTTGCACAAATTCCTGTTCAAAGATTTCTTAGTTCATCAAATTCAATAATTCTCATGAAGATCATTTTTCTAATCTATATCATCCCTATAAAATCAGTTTTGATAAATAAAAAACTGTTTGAGAAAAGTCAACTGATTGATAATTATTTTTTTAACGCTTGTCGAATAGGAAATAATATAAATACTCGATTGTTCATGCCAATAGGTTTCAATTCGTACAATAGATTCATTCTTCCAGGCAACAAACAATTTGAAGAATTTTTCAAGTGTATGCATATCATTTATTTTAGTTTTTATCTACATTATATTAACATATGTATTTCATATTATATATTTATTTATTCAATTTACCTTTCTTCATACTAAACACCGAAATATTCTGTGTTCGTTAAATAATATTAACAGCAATTAGCTGTTAATAATTCATCTATTGTTTATTTGTTCTACATATGTATTTATTTTTATTATAAAAATGTGTTCAAATTTACCTACGCTGACAAACAAATCAAGTTTTCTATCATCTAGTTACTTTGATTTGACATCATCATACTCTGTTCATCGATATTATTGAAATAAGAATCTAAAAAATAAATTTAAGAATACATGAATATAGATAAATAAGCACTAGTATCAGTTTCCGAAGATGTCATCCATGCAGAAAATGGATGAAACGACATCATGAAATGATGCGAATGCACTGGACAGCAGGGCTGTCAACTGTACTCCATTTAGACTTCTAAGTCTACGATACGACTATCTAATCTTTTAATGAAAACAACCTATCTTCTTCTAGACTTTTCTCATTTTCATAAAGAAATATACAACTAAATGTGTTGGTAAATAACTGACCAATAGATATTAGCACCCATTTCGTTTAATTTCGCCTTTAATTATTCGGCTTTACATACTATTTTTTTTCACTATGAATAATGAAATAAATTTTATTGAATTTTTTCCTTTTCTCCTTTCCCATCGTTTCATTACTTTTTTCAATTTAGTTTGATAAATACATATTGTCTCAAAAATGAATCAAGTTTTAGACTTTCCCTTCAATGTATTTGGTTTTATTGATAATTTTCGCATGGCATTGAACAAAGATTATGAAGTTGAAATTTCTGACGATTCAGAAGCAACAGCAAGTGAAGAATTTTCCTGTTTCCAAGACAAGCCAGCTACTAATATCAAAGAAAAAAATGTTCATCAAAGTCAAAAAGACGTTGTATGTTCAACCAAAACTGGTTGAAAGATCCTAAATATATAGCATTTCTCAGAGAATGTCGGATTAATAAATATTTTACTCATTGTTTCATATGTAAATCAGACTTTTGTGAAACACGACCTGAAAGGTGTGTTGGTGTTTAGGGCAGAAATCCCCCCCCTCCACAGTTCGTTACCGACAGGTAATTTTCCCATCACAGAACGTAACAGACAGCTTAAGAGACCATTGAAAACCGTGATCGACACCTCAATTACTTAGTTAATTAACTAATTACTATGCAATTACTTAATTGGTCATCACAGACCGTGACAAAGGGCCTTCAGAAATGACTACAGATCGCGGCATATGCTTTAATTAATTGATTAATTAGTACCATATGCATTGAGTGCCCATCACAGACTGTTACACAAGATCTTCAGAGACCTAGCACAGTCCATCAGAGAAGCTGGTCGAGCCGAGCGGAGATCATCACTGATAGCGGCAAACGAGCTGTCTCACCAAATCTACAAAGAACTCCCTTGAATACGCCATCTCCCCGTGATTTCCTGCAGTGATTATGTCGTGTTTCACATTTTTAATCCCAGAGGGATTACGATAACAGCTTTTCTATTTCTAATGGTGGTGTTTATTTTATCGGTTTTCTCAATTAAATCCTCTATTTTAGGAGGAAGACAATGTACCACATTCTGAAAACGAATGTACCCCAAATGTACCTCATTTGGACTTTCAAAAATCCCATTTGAAAAATGAAAAATGGCTGCTCTGACTGGACAAGACCTATTTCACCTAGCACAAAACCGAACACACAAGAAATTATTGTTTTTTTTTCTTATATGTTTAAAGATATCTGTATGTCGTCGTCGTCGTCGTCTCCTTTTTTTTCAATCTTTTGTTTAGTTGTTTTTTCGATGATATTAATGTCATTGTTGCCAACCATAAGCTTGGTGAAATATAGTATTCATCTTCTTCACTCTGGTTCATGAAATTGTATATATGTATTAATTGTGTCATTGACAACATCAAGAAGGACCATATAATATTCTTGTTATTGGAATCTATGTTATTTTCGTTTTCAGAAAACAGAGCGATCTTTTCTGGCTTCTATTGCGTATAGAACATGGTTATAGTCGACAACATCATTTTGCATTCATTTTGTACACGTGTGAACGAATAAAAAAAAACTTTTTATAAGATGTTTTCCTAATATAGTGCGGTTTTCTATTACTCATTTAGAAAAAAAAATAGAGAACAATATTCCTTACTTCAAATAGTGTTAAAATATTTTTCATATCAATTTTAAAGAAACAAACAAGATCTCACCCAGGTGAATGAATCCGATAACGAATTCGATCGAATCTTAACACATCCGACGAGCCGACAAAGTCACATGGGATTCTGGGTTGAGGAACTACTAACGGATCCCTAGTGTTGGAATCCGGTGAACATCCGACCAAATCCAACAACCGAATTTGATAAGAATTTCATGAGTTGGATCCCAACACTAGGGATCCGTGAGTGGGTCCGCAACCCGAATCTGCTTAGCATTCTGCAGGAACCGATCGAAATCCTGTTGGATCCAGCTATCGGATTGTTCTTCCTGGGCGCAGAGAACACCCATTCCACATACTTATCTTTAATTAAATCATTGTCCTTGAATTTGTTAAATATTTCTAACAAAGAATAGCTGAATACATTTGACACGTGAAAAATAGATAAAACAAATGATTTTTATTTGATTTAATGAAGACTTAATTAGTCGTATAATTTATGTGTTTTAGAAAAGCTTTTCATAAAAACATTTATTCAAGAATATTATGGATCTTTGTGTAGGATTTTCTATCGATTACTTCTCGAAAAAAAATCATTCCAGGTTTCTTCAGATTCAAGGAAAGATAATCGAGTCTTCAGACGCCTTTGATCAATACAACAATTTTTTATTGAATTTGAACATCATAAAAGCAGGTTTTTTGAAAAAAGGTTTCCTTCTTTAATTGAAAATTCTATTCCTCTGCTACAACAGTATTTTTATTAGCAAAACGTCTAGTTTTGTAGCATTTATTTCCTAAGCATATCTATTTGAGTTTTAGAGTAGATAACTTTGGCAGAGCTATATCGTTATTTGTAGATATTACGTAAGAAACTGAATTAATTGAGCATTTAAATAAAAGCATAGACAGCTAATGTCTCAAGGTATCTTTTAATTCGCTAAATGTATCTATACTTTATCGTGCCGCAATTCTTATCCATGATGCAAGGTTAAATTTATCAGAATTAAAAACTTCTTCTAGAATTTTAAGATTATTGTACGACTGCCATTCATTTAATTAGTTCAATTTTTATGGAAGCAACAAGTGCTCGTCAAATACTTCTGTGCAATAACACGATATATATATATATATTATCTGTGACTCGAGTGCATGCTTTATTGTAAACATTTTCTATTTTCATCTTTATGCATCATTGCATTTTTGTACATGGATAAAAAATATATACCTACGACTATTACTAGGTTCTATCGGTGTTTATCTATATAATTTTCATTTTAGGTAGTTTTGCCTATATCAAATATTAGTTTTTTTTGTATACTTATTGAAAATAAAATTACTTAGATATGTCTTAGGGATTACCTAATGTGGATTCATATGTAGAATAAGCACACTTTCCGATTCAGTCAGTATATTGCCCACAAGAATCCGAGTGTGCTCATAGGATGGAAATATTACTATTCTATACCTGTACGTCTATTGGTTTTACTCGTGCGTCGATTTAGTGAAACGGTATTCATCAAGATAATATTGAATATAATCATTCGATTCAATCTTAGACGAATGAAAAAAATGCAGTTATATTTTCTCTGATTTATCAAAACTTAATTTGTTATTTGACTTTTGTTTTAGTTTCATAGGAGTTTTGAAACTAAAACTATGCCATATTTAATTATGATTAATAGAACCTTGTAGTAGTCGTTTCAGCTTTTATGTTGATCTAATAATTCTTAAACTGGATCAACAATTTTCTTATCAATAGACTTTATATTTAACGAAGACTTGTAATTATCAATGATGAATATTCGTATATGTTTCTTCTGAAATGTGCAGAGAAAACGAAATAAATTTTTTATTGAAATTTGACTTAATATTTCAATCGTGATGCCTACTGAAAATCTACATCGATGTTTTGAAATAATTTTTCATACTACATTTGCTTCATGCTTATTTTGAATTGTTTTTATTTTCATCAATTCGAAATTTTTTTCTCTACAAACGTAAAATTCGTTAATGCCAGGATGACAAATTTCCTATTTAGTGCATCATAACTCGTATTGATAGGTTATCGCAGCAGATTGAAAAATAAATAAAATTTATCACGCAAAACACAAACATAAAACCGTAGCTGTCAACTCAAAATGATAAGGAGAATCATTCAAATGATGTCGAGAAAAAATAAGTTTTCAAGAAGATAACAAAAATGTATTGAAAAATATGAAAAATTTCAAAACAAAAATGTTGACAACAACGATATTTATGTAAATCATAATAAAATGGTGTCAGGAAAAAGCTTACAACACCAGAAGTAACAGTAGGTAAGTGTTCAAAAATAATTATAACTTTACGAGGTTAGATAGTTGTTGAATGGTTTTGGAATTGATAAAAAACAATCTGAGTGAATACATTCAATTCATTTTATTCTGTGTTCTCTTGTTAAAATCAGCTTCAATATTATGAATATAGTACACAATTATATCAATATTTATATCTATTGATAACCTTCTAATGGCCAAACGCAACTACTTACTTACTCTATAGCTCATTGTGATTCTCTTATATTTATAAAAAGATTTATCTGTTTTAATCTCAAAATAAAATATTCTAACATTAATCAATTGCAATCAAAGAGGAGAACAAATTAAATCACTGATTTTTTATCGATTTTGTTGAAGATTAGATTAAAAATAGCCTAAATAGAAAGAAAAATAAGGCATGACTTTCTTCGCTTTCTCTTGTAGTCTTGATTATATCATAAAATACGGCAGTCACCTATACAATTATTTAGAAGGTTATAATACAGAGCATGTCTACATTAATTTCGCTCTTATGTTTATTCATATAGAAAAAAAAACAGAAGAAACGACCAGGTTAAAGAATATAACGGCAATGGTTAGTGTGGGTATTGCTGAAAAGATTCTATTCATAAATAATCATCAATAAAAGGATTGAAAATTCATGATCGTTGATCCTTGATTGAATTCATTGACAATTATATGTTTATTGTTTTAGAAATTGAATTATCTAATATAGTTTCAAAAAGTCATTTACAATAAAAACTATGAAATATCTTAAATAATTTTATTTCTTGTATGCTGGTTTTTTCCTAAAGTTTTCTTTCAAATAGATTTTTTCGTTAGCAAGTGCTCAAGTTTATAATCCAATCCTCTTATAGTTGTGAATGAAATTCTATTTTAGAGAAACTTTTTATTACATAATTTTTTCGTTATAATGCTCTGCATTATATAATATTTTTTTCGATTTTCGATATATAATCAGATGCAATTCGACTTCGACTAATATTTTGTATTACTGGTATCGTATCGAAATTATCTAGCAGAAACCAAAATTGTTTACTTCACATTTATTTCAATGCAATCAATTTTTAGATGACTATTAAGCCGTTGATAGTACTTCAAAACAAAAATAATCCTTTAGCAGTTGACCTGGCACGTTGAGTTGCATAATATTTTTCGGATAAAACTAGAAAATATTATTCAGAAAAAGAATAAGTCTATAATGAAATTATTTTCAAAATTACGACACGAACGGAATATTCGTATCCGATCAAAATGATAAAAGAGTATAGGAAAGCAAACGATGAGCTTATGAGTATTGATTTCGCTTTTTGTTTTATTCAAGTATCAGTACTAATTCATTCAACGATTGTTGAGCTGCGATTCAATTATTTGTTCGTATCACTTGTAGTATTTCAAATCTATATTTCAGTGGGCGCAGTCTTCTATTCTCGAACGCACATCTTCGTTCTCATTGTGTTCTTTTCATTAGAATATTTGTCTACCTACAGTTACGTTTCATGTCACTTTCTTTTTCTTCTAGATATTTTGTTCTTCGTTGTTTTTGTATTCTGTAATTTTCTGTTTTGTTTTTAACGCTTTTCTTTTCCTCGCATTCAGTTGACACAATATTATACCTTGCTTGTTATTAATCCTCAATGTAATGATGAATCTGTTTTATTCATTGTAAGTTTTGTAAATGATGATGAAAGACACTCTACGAAGACGAAAATTTGACATGAATCTCTTGCATTATTGCGTACGAACCTTGATACTCATTCTGGTATAAAATCCATGAATACAAATGAAACCTCTAGCTAAAACAAAAACCAAAAATGTATTCATGATAGAAAAATAAGCTACCAGGTAGAAAAGTTCCTACGAGACTGTCTTTTCTCTCTCTAGTGCAATCCAAAATTGTTCTTATTAGAGATCAGTTCAGCTCAACGAATGAATCCTTGATTTATGGAAAAGATAGTATTAGAATGTAATATACCAAAAATATAGTTAGATCAAGTATTATTGTAAAAAGATCATACTATTCTAGAACTGTATTTCATCAGTTCATAAAACCTAATTGTAGCAGAATAGCTTCACAAAACAGTGAGTTGTTACCAATAGAAAATGGTTATTTTTCTGGCGAAATTGTTACTATGGACGTCCGTAAAAAGTATGGTCGTTCTTTTTATATACACCTTTAATTG